TGCGGCGTTACGGGGGGGGGGGACTGATCTGGGGGCTCCCTCCCTGACCGCCGCTCCCCACAGCTCACCGCTTCCAGCCCCTCGGCACCGCCGAGCCTCCCTGGAGCCCCACGCCGCTGCCCGCTGTCACCCAGCCGCCCGCTGTCACCCAGCCGCCCACCACCACCTGCACGGGCGCAGCGTGCCCAGGTACGGTGTGCACAGGCCCGGGGAGGTGCAGCGTGCACGGGTACAGCGTGTGGAGGCGTGATGTGCATGGGCATGGTGTGAACAGGAACAGCGTGCACGGGCATGGTGTGCACGGGTGCGACGTGCACAGGTACAGCGTGCACAGGTATGGTGCGCGCAGGTACAGCGTGGGGAGGTACAGCATGCACGGGTACAGCCTGGGGAGGTATGGTGTGCACGGGTACAGCCTGTACAGGTACAATGTGCATGGGCGTGGTGTGCACAGGCATGGTGTGCACAGGTAGAGCATGCACAGGCACAGCATGCACAGGCATAGTATGCACAGGTATAGTGTGCACAGGTATGATGTGCACAGGTATGGTGTGCACAGGTACAATGTGCACAGGTATGATGTGCACAGGCATAGTATGCACAGGTATGGTGTGCACGGGCATGGTGTGCACAGGTACAATGTGCACAGGTATGATGTGCACAGGTACAGCATGCACAGGTATGGTGTGCACGGGCATGGTGTGCACAGGCAAGGTGTGCACAGGTGTGGTGTGCACGGGCATGGTGTGCACAGGCAAGGTGTGCACAGGTATGATGTGCACAGGTATGGTGTGCACGGGCATGGTGTGCGCAAGTACAATGTGCACAGGTACAATGTGCACGGGCATGGTGTGCACAGGTACAGCATGCACAGGTATGGTGTGCACGGGCATGGTGTGCACAGGTACAATGTGCACAGGCAAAGTGTGCACAGGTACAGCATGCACAGGTATGATGTGCACAGGTACAGCATGCACAGGTACAATGTGCACGGGCATGGTGTGCACAGGTACAGCATGCACAGGTATGGTGTGCACGGGCATGGTGTGCACAGGTACAATGTGCACAGGTATGGTGTGCACGGGCATGGTGTGCACAGGTACAATGTGCACGGGCATGGTGTGCACAGGTACAGCATGCACAGGTATGGTGTGCACGGGCATGGTGTGCATAGTCACAGTGTGCACAGGCGCAGCACACCCATCTATGGTGTGCACAGGTATGGTCTGCACGGGCACGGTGTGCACAGGACACGGCTTGCACAGGCACAGCGTGCACGGGCAGAGTGTGCATGGTCCCCGTGTTGCACAGGTAGGGTGTGCATGGTCGGGGTGTGCACAGGTACCCCCCCCCCCCGGGGGGCCGTGCTGGCGCTGACCCCGGGCCCTC